TCCAAGCTTTTTTTTTTTTTTTTTTTAATCTGGGTGAGGTGAGGGACTGGCTTCTGAGGATCTTTTAGAGGGCTAGATGTCATTGTCAGTGATCTGTTTCCTGGGCTGCGTTCACTACCCACCCTAATAAGTCACAGTAGCAGCGAGCCATGCTTGGACCAACTATGAGACGGCATCATGGAACAGGGGTCCTGCTGAACCCCATTCCGTATGTCCTGTTACTACGAATAAAAATAAATAAAGTCCTCTCAGCTTGACCCTAGTTCTGCTTATTTTTGTACTTCCTCCCACAGTGAAGCCGAGGGGTCACTGCAACCTTGCTCTTGGCAATCGGGGTTAGGAGTGTGAGGCTGGGCCGGAAACGAAGGGGGGATGAGGCCATATCTGCTTTAACACTGTTTTAGATAGGCCCTTTGTGGTGAGGGTTTCCAAGAACCAGCGAAGCAGTTAAAGAAGCTGAGCGACATTTACAAGAAATGCGCCCCTGCCCCACCCCAACCCCCACCTCTTGTCCCTCTTCTCTTTTTTACCGCCTCCGACTAGTCCTCCCTCCCAGGCCAGAGCGAAAAATAGCGCTCAGACAGCTCCACTGAGCATTTCCACAAAACAGAACTGCTTGCTCCGTTCTCTGGACTCTGGAATCCAGACCTGACCTCTGGATCATGGACATGGAAGGGATCTTGAGATGACTAATCTACGAAGGCTTTTTTTTTTTTTAATACTAGAGATTGAACCCAGAGATGCTCTATCACTGAGCTGCATCCCCAGCCCAGGCTGGCCTTGAACTGGTGATCCTCCTGCCCAAGTCGAAGAAATTACAGGTGTGCACTATTACGCCTGGCTACACAAACATCTAACTAGCAAGGCCCTGGGTTCCATCTTTGACACTGCTTAGAAAGGCGGGGAGAGAGAGAGAAGAGAGAGAAGTGGTAATGAGCACAGATTGCTAGGGTCTCAAATTCTGACCTGTTATTTCTTTTGGGGGAGGTACCAGGGATTGAACTCAGGGCCACTCGACCACTGAGCCACATTCCCAGCCCTATTTTCTATTTAGAGACAGGGTCTCACTGAGTTGCTTAAGTGCCTTGCTTTTGCTGGGGCTGGCTTTGAACCCGTGATCCTCCTGCCTCAACCTCCCTAGAGGCTGGGATTACAGGCCTGCACCACCACACTAGGCTCTGACCTGTCATTTCTTCATGTGACCTTTGACGTGATACTTAGGCGTTCCACTCAGTTTCCTCCATCTGTAAAATGGGGATAAATAATGTCATCCACCTCATGGAGAGTCCTTGTGAGGATAAATAAGTTAATTCATGCAAAGCACAGAATGGGCTTGGCATGCCCAGAGTATTGGCTAATATCACTAAGGAACTGCAGGGTAACAGCCCCTTCTGGGTGTTACCCTTAACAAGGTTACTGTCACCTTCCCTTCTAATCCTTTGCATCCCCTCCCTTTACCCAGCATTCTGCACTCCAAGGCCAAGCCCCACCTAAATAACCTAAATTCTAAGAAACCCCACCTAAAACCTTTCCTTAGATTCACAGAACTCAGAGTGGGCTTGTAACACTCTCCCATAATAATTAGCCTCAGGAGAAGAACACCCCCAGCTGTGAAAGGACCCTACACAGCCCCAAGCCCAGGGGGGTGGGACTTGGAGGAGCAGCCACTCTATTTCTCTGGGCTGGCACTGAGAAAACCTGATTCCTTCTTCCCCTGACTCAGCTCCTGAATATTGGCACTGGCAGGGTGGTGGGTAGCCTGCAACCTGACTCCAGTCACACGATGTGTCTGTCACTAGGCTAAGGGCTGTGAAAGATGCAGATGGATGAATCAATGGGATCCTGATCTAGGCAGAAATGGAACCTAGGGCCTTGTGCATGCAAGGCAAGCACTCTACCAACTGAGGTATCTCCCCAGCCCTGTGGAAACCTTTTCTAGAAAGCATTTTTGACCCAATCTGACTCAGCAACTCTGCCATCCTAGCAACAGAGCAGCCGTATGTGATGTGTAGATGCATGAAATTTATGTACGAATACTCAATTGTGCTTCATATCATCTTCACATATAAGGACATTATTTTTCACCCAATTTACACTTACAAATGTAAAACCCAGGCTGGGCAAGGTGACGCTCAGGAGGCTAAAGCAGGAGGATCACGAGTTCAAAGCCAGCCTCAGCAATGTAGGGAGGTCCTAAGCAACTTAGTGAGACACTATCTCAAAATAAAATGTAAAGAGCTGGGGATGAGGCTCAGTGGTTAAGTATCTCTGGGTTTAATCCCTGTTGCCAAAAAAAATAAATAAATAAAACCCAATATGAGCCTGCGGGCTGTACAAAAACTGGTGCTGTACCAGATTCAGTCAGACTGATGCCTGGTCCAGTTGTAAGGGGAGTATCAGCCTCACTGGATTTCTCTGCTCCGCCTGTGTTCATTGTCCCGTTTTACAGGTAGGCAAACTAAGGTCTATCCTTCAAAAGCCAATTGAAATGTCACCTCCTCTTTGAAGCCTTCACAGGCTGCCTCTGCCAAGGGGATTAGTAAATCACTCAATCTGCTGCCCCCTACATAAGTCCAACTACATCCTTTACTTTTAAAATTTAAAAATAATTATTCAAGACAAACCAGAAGTTATAGAGTAATGTAAACACCTTATGAGACGTTGCTGAAAGTCGAAGTTCCCTATACAGAGAGGTACCTCCAGATCACAACCTCTCTGCCGCCTCCAGAGAGGTAAGAGCCACCATCCTGACTCCAGGAACTTCTTGTCACCCTGTACTTTTTGGTACTTTTATTGCCTCCATAAAGTAGCAGAGTATTTGCATTTACATATACTCGCTACTTACTCCTATCTTCCTAATAACCCTATCAAGGAGCATCTCTGTTTAGAGATTAGTCTCAGAGCTGGTAATGATTTGCCTGGGGCATTTACATAAGTGATAGTGCTAGGATCTACGCCTAAGGCTGATTCCCAAATTAACTCCTAAAATGACCCAGAGACTAAGTATGACCTCTAGCACTTCCCACACAACTCCTGATAACTTGCACCCAGTAGGAACACACAAACTCACTTCACAGGACAGAAGGGTGGGGTTTTGCCAGATTTTTTTTTTTTTTTTTTTTTGATACAGGGTGTAGCTAAACTACCTAGACTGGCCTTGAACTTGCAATCCTCCTGCCTCAGCTTCCTGAGTGGCTGGGATTACAAGTGTAATTTCAGGCCTGGAGCAAATTTTAATTGTCCAAGTACAAATTTCCAAGAGACATCAACACTCAAGAGATTGGCAGTGTTTGTGCATGTGTGTGTGTCTGTGGACTCCTATGCACACACAATTTGAATGAGAGGGAATAGTGAGAAAGAAGGGGTTGAACCTCAGAAAATCAGCCCCCCATAATCAAAAAATCCTTCCTTCCTCTCTGCAGCCACATGAGGACTGAGCTGGGGTTTGGGACCTCATCCAAGCTTAAGGTAGACAATGAAGGATGAAAGGTATTGTGTTTTGGATCCTGACCCTGACAAGAGTATATAGGGCCAGATTCCAAAGATTCTGTGGATGCAGGAGAAGGGGTAGAAAGATGACCCACAAGGGAGGAAGAATAATAGGGTGGCTCTTGATATTTATAAAGAAACAAGAAAGCAACATACTAATACTTAATATGAGTTAATAGTGACACAGCTACAGTGGTTTCAGAATATCAGGCTGTGTTCAGACTACCACTTAGTGGATTCAGGGGTTCTACCATCCAGTTTAAGTTAAAGTAACTCACAGAATAGACAAGGGGCCTATTAAACAGATTCCTGAATAGAAGCCACGGACTAAAGATACTAATAGAACAAGCAGTAAGACAATGGCAGAGCTAACATTTCACCTATTCCCAGTATAGACCCTTTATTGAGCACATTGGAGGGAAATGTAAAATAAACACAAGCATTTTCACCCACCATTGTTAATGACTGAACCTCACATTAAAGGTGAAGGGAACCTGAAAAAAATAACACAGGTATACAGCTTTCCATTAGACTCTACATTTATCAAGGATATATGCTCAAAACAGTTTGTATTCCTAGATGAGTCTCACTACAAAGCCAAGGTTGTTCAAATCCTGGGCTCAAGCAATCCTCCTGCTTCAATCTCCCTAGTACCTAGAACTCTAGGCACCTCACCATACCTGACTGCAAAATTCATCAGTGGTAGAGCTGGGGATATGGATTGGTGGTAGAGTGCTTGCCTACCATGTGTGAAGTACTGGGTTCAATTCTCAGCACCACATAAAAATGGGTAAATAAAATAAAGGTATTGTGTCCAACTACAAATAAAAAAAATTTTTTTTGAATGTTTTACTAGTGGACTGGGTGCCCTGTCACAAATCTTTTAATTCCAGCAACTGGGGAGGTTGAGGCGGGATTGCAAGTTTGAGGTCAGCTGAAGCAATTTTAGCAAGGCCTTAAGCAACCTTGCCAGATCCTGTATCAAAATAAAAAATAAAAAGGGCTAGGGATGTGGTTCAGAGGTTTAAAAAAAAAAAAGTTTACTGTTGCAAGAGATACATGTTCCCACGTCAGCACTGTTGGAGAGGACGTCCTACAATGATAAAAATGTCCTGTACAGCCAACAAGGTAGCCAGTAGCATCAAGTGGCTATTAAATACTTGGAGGGCTAAGGATGTAGCTCAGTTGGTAGAGCGCTTGCCTTGTATGCACAAGGCCCTGGGTTCAATCCCCAGCACCAAAAAAGAGAAAACAAAAACTACTTTATACAAAAATCAGAGGATGTCCTATTTCATTAGGGCCCCCTCATGACAAATCATGTCCACATTTGCTTAGTAAAAATGACTACCCCAGGACTCCCGCTGAAGCAAACCAGTACAACAGGCCTTTAGTCCCTCACTAAAGGGTTTAATAAATGCACACCAGTTAGCCTGCCTCTGCATGGACAAGGATCAGAAACCACAAAGTAAGACAAAAGGTTTTTATTCAAAAAATGCCAAGTATAAAAAAAAAAAAAATAAGATCTCTTTTATTCCCCTGTACAGTATTTCACTCAGATAAAACCAGCAGGCTACATGCTGCTCAGAACAGCCCCAGAGAGGATCCGGAAGGCACACCACCCAGAACTGCGTCTCATATATCTATCCTATATACACTAGTCAGCAATGCCCCTCCCCCACCACCCAGGGAGCCCAAACCCACTGACATGAGTAGGCTCAGGGCCCCCACGGAAGTCAGGGAGCTGTAGCAGCTGTCCCGCCTGAGTCCCCTCACCCCACAACAGAGCAAGCATCGCAGCCCTCCCCAAAAGGTCCCAAAGTCAGAGGAAAGGAGGAAAGAAAACAAAAAACAAAAAACCAACAACAACCTAGGGCAGCAGCTGTGGAAGCTTAAGAGCAGGAGGAAGGGAACCAAATAAATAAATAAATAAATACATAACATTGACCTCCAGGTTAGAATGCGCATCTTTCAAAAAAAAAAAAAAAGTAAAATAACTTAAAGGCAAGAATTTTTTTAAAATTAGATCAACTACAATCCTTTTGTATACTACCATGCCAACTGTACACACATTTACAGCTTTTCTGTTGATTTGCATTGTTTGTGCATTTTGTGTGTGTGAGGTCTTGGCTTTGAAACAGTTAAGTAAAAACCAAAAAGGAAGACCAGTTCACTGGGAGTTTTACTAAAGGAGGCAGAAAAAGGGCAGGTGGCTCGGCAATTGGCCCTGTAGCCTCTTCCATGGCACCTTTCATATGGAGGAGGGGGGGGGGAGGAAAACAGGGAACCAAACCCAGGCAGATTTTTGGAGAAGCAGCAGGTAAAAGAGGCAAGTTCAAGTATTTCTCCCAGCACAGCCGGAGTCCCCACAGAAGGCACTCAGAAGAGTCGGAAGAGGTGACAGGGACTTAAAATGGTGCTAGTCCTATCCCATCCCAACCTGTTTTCCCCCTACCCGACCCATCGCGGCATTCAGCAGAACTCAGTGATGAAGGGAACAGTTTCATGGCAGGGTTCTCCCACCCCCACCCCCCACCCCGGGATTTTGCGGAGTCCAGCAATGCTGGACATCCATGAGAAGGAGAGAGTGTCTATGGGAGGAGTTGAGGCCTAGGACACCTGGAGTGGAGTCTCTTCTGCCCTATTGGGAAGGCAGCCTCCAGGGGCCTGGGGTCTGGAATGAGTTGTAAATGTTGTTCCTGTATCAAGCACTGTCCTGCTTGGCGAAAGTGTCACCGGTAATCGGGAAGCTGAAGACAGAAGCTTCCCCTCCTTGAGCATCTGATAGGGAGGGGAGGACCTGCCAGAAAGGCTGCTATTTGCTAGGCCCTGGTGACAGGCTGTGGAGATGGATCTCAGCAGTCTCTTGGGGCAGGAGGACATCTTGCATCCAAGGATGATTCTGGATGTCTTCAAAGGATGGCCGATCTGATGGTCTCAGAGCCAAGCACCATCTAATTAGATGCTGACACTCTGCAGAAAGCAGAACAGACCAAAGTTATGAATGACTCAACTTGTTTTTGCAATGCAAAGGTCTTCCCAATTTGTCTCCCAGGGGCCCACAGGTCTGAGACCCTGAGCAGGCCATGCACTGTACACAACACTGTGCCCAGGTACTCTTTCAGCTAAAAAGTGGCTCCCCTATTAAACCTGTGGTTTTCAAACTTCAATAGCTAGGGCCTTTCCCACGACACCCACTCACCAGAAATAGGAAGGATGATGACAAGAGATTTTCTATGATACATCACTGAGCATGGTGAGGTGATTCAATTCACCTACCAACTTAACAAACATGAAACCACCCAGAATGAGGTCACTGGGACCATAGCATTCGGCCTTCAGGGAGATGGCTAAAAGAGCCCTTTACTTTTTTATTCCCTGGCAAAGTAACAAGGAGTTAAGGGATGTCTCCACTGGTAATTAAATATTTTCAGGATTTGTGAACAGAGCTTGATAGAGGAGTCCTTGCCTAGCATGCAGGAACACCTGCAATCCAATCCCCAGCATGGGGGGGCGGGCACTTTTCAGGAAAACCAGATTGTCTTTTTTTAGTATGCTTACACATGTCTTTCCTCTGACCTCCCAAGAGAAGTTCAAGTGCATATGATCCCTGAGACCAGCTCAAGTATAAACCACGGGCCTACAATTTTGCTAAGCCAAAGACCATGGCATTTCCTGGAGAGTGAAGCTCTCCAGAATTCAAGACTGCCCCACAGGTGCTAATAGCATCATGGTTCGTATTTTTCCTTAACTCACAGCTCCCCGGGGGTCAGAGATGTGGCTCAGTGGTACTTCGCTTGCCTACCATGAGCAAGCTCTGGGTTCAATCCCTAACATTGCCAAAAAATAAAAAAGGGGGACTTCCATGAAATTACCTGAAGAGACTCTCTGTCTGAAAAAAACTTGGCCCCTGATGATCTCTTCATCGTGCTCAAAAGGAATATCTCCACACACCATATCATACAGCAGGATCCCCAGGGACCAGACAGCTGCGGACCTGCCATGGTAGCGATGGTAGCGGATCCACTCTGGAGGACTATACACTCGGGTCCCTGCAAGCCAGGGGAATAGGAGAGAAAACACTCTTTTAACAAGAAACAAACATAGCAACTCGTGTTCTCTTTAAAAAGTACTGCCTCCCCTTTTCACAGGAGCTGGGTGAACTCCATTTTTGCCCTGTGGGCTCAAAGGAAAACGAAGGAGAGATTTATGGCATCTCTCCAACCCAAAGCATTACCCATCTCTCTACCAGCCCAAAGCATAAACTGAAATCCTTTACAATTCCTCCAAGAAACAAACAGGACTGGCTGTAGACCCAAAGTCTGAGGTGAGAATGTGGTAGGACCACCCACAAAGGGATGAATACCTACAAGTCAAGGGCTGTATCACACAGAATATCCTTAAACTTTGCTCGACAATGCCCAGGACCCAAGTGAGATCCTCATCACAGATACAATCCAGGTAAAGATCCTTACAAAACACCCTAAGTCAAGGTGCCTTCATCCCCACCATCTGAGAACCAGGGGGCAGGCACCCACATCCTTTCCTCCCCAGCTGAAAAGGTAGACAGAGCTGCAGGGCTGGTTTCAGACCACGTGATTCCTGTTTACAAACTTTGGATAGTAAAAAAAAGGGGGGGTGGGGGTTGGGGAGAGGTCATCCCAACGGTGCTCACCAGGGGGCAGCAAAGACTTGAAGGAAAAAAACTTGGGAGGACCCAGCCAGCCATTAACTGTTAAATACAAAAAACGCAGCCCAACCCAGCGTCCTCCAAGGGCAAATAAACACAAACCACAAGCCAGAGTCACAAGTTTTGAAAGGTTGTCGTTTGTTAGGGTAAGCCACTCAGATGATGACCCACCCTCCTTCGCTTTGATCTCAGGCTCTCCATTCCTTCTTTTCTTAAAGAACCCGCTCCAAGCCCCTCCCTAAAGTAAGATAGGTTTTCATCCTCCCTGTGGACACCCAACTAATTTTCAAACCAGCAACAGATCTTATTTCACAACATTCATTCCTTACCCCCTCACCCCACAACACCCCCTAATATGTTTTTACATTTAGTGAAACTACTATTCCTATTCCTTAACCCTCCCTACATCAAAGGGGAAAGGGAGGGGGAACTGCGGTTCTAAGAACTACCTTAACAGAAAACTAATTCCCTTATGAAACAAAAACAAAAATTACAAAACCGGCATCAATTTTCATCTCTTCCCCCTCCCACCACCCCCCTTTTACTGGCGGGGAAACTGGGTCAGACTTTGGAAATCTGGGCTACGGCCGGTTGCCCATAATCTCTTATTCCTCGGGAAAGTCTGGAACCCACTGAATTCCACTGAAAAAAAAAATAAAATCAAGCCAGAAACATTACAGGTTCAGCTGGCTTGAAATCCCCGGCTTTACTACTCTGGGAAGCTCTCCTTCGCCCCACCCCTGCTAGCATCGAGCCAAGCGGCCCAATGACCTTTACAAAAGGCCGGAGCAGGAGACTGGCAGAGGCCTCCAGGCCCGGCCGCGACACCTGGGCAGCTCCCTCCCGGGATGGCTCACCATCGAAATCTGTATATACGGTGTCCTTGAGCAGCGCCCCCGACCCGAAGTCGATGAGCTTGAGCTCGCCGCGATTGAGGTCGATGAGGATGTTCTCGTCCTTGATGTCGCGGTGAAGCACCCCGCAGTTGTGGCAGTGCCGCACGGCCTCCAGCACCTGCCAGAAGAAGCTGCGGGCCAGCTCCTCTTGTAGGGCCCCCCTTTCCGTGATAAAGTCGAAGAGGTCTTGCACCGGCTCGGGCCTCTCCAGGATCAGGACGAAACTGTCGGGCCTCTCGAACCAGTCCAGGAGCCTAATGACGCCGGAGAAGCCCGAGCTCACCTTCTTCAGCAGGACCACTTCCATGGGCACGCGGGTGCCATTGGGCTGCAGGGACGAAGGGCTGGTTAGGGCGGGAGCCGGGGCGCGCCCTACACCCCACCCACCGTTCCTGGGGGTCGCTCCCTTCAGAGCACTCACCAGCTCTCCCCAGTCGGAAATCCGGTCCTTCTCCACGTGTTTGATGGCCACCTAGAAGCCCCAAGGAGTAGATCGTTAGCTCCCCTCGCCGGGGCCAAAGCACAGCCGCGTGCCCCCCGCCCGGCGCTCCCTCCCCAATGCGGGGCGCCCACTCACCGGCAAGTTGTCGGCGACACGGATGCCTGAGTAGACTGAGCCGAAGCCGCCGCTGCCCAGTAGCGGGCCCACCTGGTACTGCGACTCCAGGGGCTCCTTCTCTTTGCCTAGGAAGGGGGAGACACAGGGTACTCAGCATCGGCCCGCGAGCCCCCAGCCTCCTTCCCACGCTGAGGGCGCCGCCGGCGCCCCCATCCTCGGACCCGGAGAACCCTTACCCGGCGCCAGCTTGGTGGTGTGCAGGTCGTTGCAGGGCGCGGCGCGCAGGTGGGCGAGCGAGTTGATTTTGGACAAGAGCATCCCAACCTCCAGGGTGTCGGCGCAGGGACCGTGCCTGGAGAACCTGCAGCAGGCGCTGGGGCTGGGGCTGTTCGGGTGGCTGGAGCTGTTGCTGCGGCTGGCGTTGCGGCTGTGGCTGCGGCTGGCGCGGAAGGCCGAGGGCGAGTCGGAGGACAACTGGGGGCGCTGCCGGGGCTGGCAGAGGGAGGACGAGTCGGCAGGGTCAGGCAGCGTTGAGGACGACGGGGTGAGAGGCTCCTAGGGTTTCTGCGGGACAGAAAGCTCGTGGCAGCTGCTGCTGCTGCTGCTGATCCCGCCGCCACTGCCGCCGACTCCTCTCCGGCCTCCTCCGCCGCCGCGGCCGCTGCAGCAGACGCCCGGCTCGCCCCGCCGCCAGGAGTAAAGGGGCGGAGCGCGCCGGCGGGGAGGGCGCGCGGGCGGGCGGGGACGGGGCGGGGCCTCACCGGGAGGCCAAGGCAGGGAGCTGGGCTGCCGGGCTGGCGGAGGGAGGAGAGAGGGTGGGGAAGCGGCGGGACCAGGCAACTCCTCTGGGCCCCCGCCCTGCGGGCTTCGTCGCCGCGCCCCGGCCCCGCCCCATTGGCCCGCATTCAACCAACCAGAGGCCGACTGATCTGCATAACGCGGCGCGCCCCGCCCCCGCCCCGCCCCGCTCTCGCGGTCAGAATGGTCTCGACGCCGCCACGACGTGGCGGGAAGGAAAAGGCGCCAAAATGGAGGGGGAGGGGCGCGGGGCGTGAGGGGAGGCGGGAGCTGGGTGTCGGGCCGCGAGGGAGGAAGGATGGGGAGGGGCGTATCGATTCAAACCCAAACAATAACAAAGCCATCAAAGGCCGCCCGAGGCCGGCTCTGCGGCTCTCGGTTTCTCGGAGGTTTTTGGGTCAAGGGCTCGAGCTGGAGCATAACAAGTTGCGCGGAGACCACGGGCGTTGGTGTGTCAGGCGGGGAGGCCGGCGCGCCGGGGTGTGAGGGACTGTGTGTGGGGACGCCGACGAGGGTGGTCTTTCTGTGTGACTCAGACTCCAGACCTCCAAGTCTGCCTGGGCTGGTTGACGGCGCGCTGCGGGCTGGGGCTGGATCCCGGGGGTTTGCGTGTTGGGGGGCGCGTGGGGGGCGACAGCTCTGTAAGCCGTGAGTCACGGCGGTTTCACGGAGGGAGTGGAGGAGTCACCGCCTGGAACAAAACTGGGGGAGAACTCGGCTGCGTCGGGGTGGGGGCAGCCGACCTGGGTTGTTAGAGCGGGTTCCAAGGTCAGCCCCCGGATTCCCGTTTTAGAAAACGCAGAAAGGTGCCAGCGGGCCCCCGTTCCTGAGAAATGACGCGTGTGTCACAGTGCCCGGGGAGGAGGAAATCACGACACAAATATTAGTATTGTGCCAGCTGCTGCCTCAGCCCCTCCGTGCCGGCGGGAGAGGGAGGAAAATTCCCGGTCTGGAGCGAGGGTGGGAGGGGCGCGGGGTCTCAGGGGGTCCGCACGTTGTAGTCACCTTGCCGTCGCCTGCTGTTAACCGGCAGGCGGTCCCGGCCATCGCGGGCCCACCCCAGGCCCGCCTCGAGGGACTCGCCCCGCCGTCCCCGCGCCCCATGGAAATAACCCGGGGAGCTGCCCAGCCCACTCTCGTCCTTTGTCCTCGGAAACTTCACGGAGAGTTGATAAGGACGTGGGGAAAGCGCCCAGTCACGTTCCGTGGAAGCCAGCCGCCGAGTTGGCAGGGTCCCGGAGCCGCTGCGAGCTAACTGCACCCCGTTTTCATTTTTTTTTTTCAAGTTCTTGCCTTTTAAAGGGAAAATGAGCAGTTACCGCTCCCCTCATGAATGGATCTGAACGTGTCCTTTACAAGGTTCCCCGGGCTTGCTCCCTAAAACGCCCCGCACCCCATCACTTAGGCGTTTATCTTCTAAAACTACAGATTTACCCCGTGTTTGTGTTCTGTGGCCTAGCTCATTCATTTTTGATGACTAGGAGAAAACCCAGGGGAACAGAATTATTCCCTTTTTGCAGATAGGAAAACGAAACAGAAGGAGGGTGACACAGGGTCGTACAACAGCCAACACAACCGCTCAGGGACAGAAGAAATGACCCAAATTCAACTCCAGAGTACTTAAAGCTTTCCAAAGCTCTGAAACCCTTTGGCAGGCTGGGAATGTGGCTCCGTGGAGAGCGCTGGCCAAGCATGTGCAAGGCCAGGGTTCAATCCCCAGCACAACAAAAAATAAAAATAATAAAACTCTTTGGAACTGAACAAAACCTAAGTAAATGTACATACACGTGTGGCTCCAGTCCCTCTAGCCTCCCTTTCCTCTCAAGCCCTCAGGCCTAGCCACAGAGGACTATCCCCGCTTGCTCCCATCACCTAGCATTGCCGTGCTGTCTGTGTGTTTAGATGTGACACATTTTTCTTTTGATAAATACAAAGACTAGTGATGGGCATGTTAATACTTTGTTTGAAGAGTCAGTCAATCTGTCCAGGGAGTGCTCTTTCCTATTCATTTATTTGTTTATAGGCTGGGGATCGAACCCAGGGCCTTGCACAAGCTAGGCAAGCACTTTACCACCCCAACTCCACCACCTTACCTACGGGAGAATATTGTAGTTTCACTGCTTTTTTTTTTTTTTTAGGAACTGAGGACATAATCCAGGGTGCTGTACCACTGAAGTATATCTTTAATCTTTTCTATTTTGCAATAGGGTATCACTAAATTGCCCAGACTGGTCTCTAACTTGGGATCCTCCTGCCTCAACCTCCTGAATAGCTGGGATTACAGGTGTGGGCCCCTAAGCTTGGCTACTTCTACCACATTTTTGCTGAACAAACTCCAAGTATTCCTTCACTGTCAACTGCTCATCTGTTAATCATGGGTTGTTTGTTTAAAAAAAAAAAAAAAAAATTCTGTTAACTTCTCAGTTATTTATATTTTGTCTCTCTCTTTTTTTTAATTTGGTACTGGGGATTGAACCCAGGGGTGCTTAACCACTGAGCCACATGCCCAGCCCTTTTTTTTTTTTTTTTTTTTTTGTATTTTAGAGACAGGGTCTCACGGAGTTGCTCAGGGCCTCACTAAGTTGCTGAGGCTGGGTGCGTAGTCTCCATCCTCCTGCCTCAATCTCCCAAATTGCTGGGATTACAGGCATGCACCACCGGCTGGGGTCTCCCTATTTCTTTCTAAGTATATTTTTAGATGTTGATGGGCCTTTATTTTGTTCATTGATTTATATGCAGTGCTAAAAATCAAACCCAGTGCCTCAAACATGGGAGGCAAATGTTCTACCACTGAGCCACAACCCCCAGCTCCTGGCTCCCTATTTCTTGAGTGCACTTTTATCCCATATTTGTTGGTGGAGAAGACCATGACCCCAATATAAATTGTGATTAAAGTCAATTTATGGGCTAGGGTTGTAACTTAGTGGTACTTGGCTAGCATTCCAGGGGTCTTAGGTTCATTATTACAAGCATTGTGGGGAGGGAACAGAAGACAAAATAAGACACATTTTTTTTAAGTCAGCTGATAGCAAATTTAGGTGATTTAAGTGAATTTAAACAAAGGGTAGGAATCAGGAATGAAAGTTTACAATTGAGTTATCCTGGTTACAAATCTAGGATGTGGCACCTACTAATTGTGTGATATTGGTTAAGCTACTTAGCTTTCTAAGCTTAAGGCTGAATAGAGATAGAAGTACCTACCTCATTGGGCATTTGTAAGGAACAAGTGAAATTTTGCATATACAGTGTATAATGTAGTATAGAGTAAACCTCTAATAAATGTTAGCATGTTGATAGCAATAATGCTGATTTTGAGTAGGACAATGGTGATGAAGAGGGGGAGATTTTTGAAATGATCTTATATAATGAAGGGTCCAAGGTAAAATCCTGAAAAAATAGTTGGATTTAACCATCTTCGGAGTGAATGTTCAAAAATATTTTAATGAATAAAATCTAATTCAACCTTACTTTTTTACTTTCTCTAAAATCCTAAATATTGGGCTGGGGTTGTGGCTCAGGGGTAGAGTGCTTACCTTGCACGTGCAAGGTCCTGAGTGGGTTCGATCCTCAGCACCACATAAAAATAAATAAAACTAAATTAAAATTCTAAATATTTAATTAGCGCTGATGTGATTAGCATTAAATAAATCTGTAAGTACATGTGGTGAGTACGTCAGAATTGTAAGTTACAAAACATGGACCCAGCCCTTTATTTATGTTTTATTTTAAGACAGGATCCCACCAAGTTGCTGAGGCTGGCCTTGAACTTGTAATCCCCTTGCCTCAGGCCTCTCAAATTGCTGGGATTATAAGCATGTGCCATCACACCCAGCTCAAAAGATAGTTTTAATAATAAAAACAAAGCACTAGTGCTGTCTCCAAGAATCAGAAAAACACTCTAATAATAAAATCACAAGTGCTTTTGGAAAGCTAAAGGTCATAATTGTACCAACATTTCTCTGGAAAGAGGGGCATTTATTATCATTGAACAATATCCAAAGTCATTCTTAGGTGATTTCCATATTCTTACCTGCTGTAGATTTCTTTTGTTTTGCTTTATACTGAGGATAGAACTCAGGGACACTGTACCACGAAGCTACATTCCCAGCCCTTCTTATTTTTTATGTGGAGACAGGATGTCACCCCATTGCCCAGGTTGGCCTGGAATTTGCAATCCTACTGCCTCAGCCACCAGAATCAGTGGAATTATAGATGTGGGCCACCATTCCTGGCTCTGAAACAAATTTAATCAAGTCGCTGTCCGAGAGATGACTTTAGCAATTTCTGTAATCACAGAATTTTAGAAATAAGATTGAAAGGGAGGTCTGTACACATTTACTAAAATATTTTTGAGTTTAGTCAATGCACTTACAAAGTAGGACTGTAGAGTTTTTTTTCTCTGCACACTATTTGCAGTTCATCAGGTAGAAATAATTTGGGTCTATACCATTTACTCCTCTCTCTCTGTGTATGTATGTATGTATATGTATATGTATGTATGTATGTACATACTATATATATATATATAGTTCCAGGGATTGAACCAAGGAGATCTTAATCACTGAGCCACACCTACCAGATTTTTAAAAAACATCTAAAAATTTTTAATTTTTTTTTATTTTGAGACAGGGTCTCACTAAGTTACTGAAGCTGGCTTTGAATTTATGATCCTCCTGCCTCAGACTCCTGAGCCATTGGGATACAGGCATGCACCACCATGCCTGGCTTATTTCTCTCTTAAAAGAAAAAAGTTACTAGGCTAGGTGTGTAGCTCCCTGGTAGAGTGCTTGCCTGGCATATGCAAAGCCATGGGTTCAATCCCCAGTACCATCAAAAAAAAGAAGAAAGAAAGAAAGAAAAAAAATTTTTTTTTTAATAAGACAG